GGCCCCAAAATTAAGGCTTAGTATTCAGTACCCTTAGGGAGGATTGTTTTTAATGTGGAGCTTTTCTACATCAAAAGTCATTAGCGCAGGAACAAAATAAGCCTTAAAGTGACAGTTCACCTTTAAGACTTTGAAAAATGTCTCATACAGTCAATGGGTCCATTGATTGTCACTGTGAACAAAAACAGTTGAAAACAGTTTTTTAAAAATGTTGTGTTCCACAAAAGAAAGACAAATCTACCAAAATTGCCAAATTGACCAATACATATGCAATATCAGAGGAATTTTAATAAAGAATTCACATATACTGTATGTCAGGCTATAACCGCTGTAGACATTAAGATGTATTCTGTATAGTTCTCGTATTCAGAATAATGGCTCATCAAATATGGGTTTTTCAGCGATTCATTCTTAAGGGCCGGTCACACTGAACTTTTCATTCCTTGACTTCCATACATACGCATGCAAATGTGGGAGGCCAGACACAACCTCAGACAAAGAAGTTTCGCATTTTGTTGCGTTCCAAAGTTCAAGTTTGGCGAACTCAGCCCTGCGAATTTATTTCACGTGAAGATGTGCAACCAATAGAATATCAGCATGAGCTCTTAGTTGAACTAAAAAAACACAAACTTGAAATTTGCAGGATCAAAGTGTTGCAGTAAAGTGGCATATACAACTTGTTTTTACCTTTTGGATGTATTACATGTTGATATTGATATATGAATTATGTTTAAAAAATATATTACGACCATCGCTGTGTCTGTAGATATTTTGCATGCTCAAAGTCTAGTGTAACAGCAGCTTTACACATCTACATTTGCTATCTTAAATCTTTTAATTTTTTCCTGTCCAACTAAACAAGTAATTATTTTTAAATGTCATATAAAATACAATCACTTTTCTGATCAGTAATTTTTTAATAGCTTTTTCCAGTTTATTTTTATTTGTTTATTTTGTGGCATTTTCTTGTCTGGTGAAATGACTTGTCTTTATTAATCTCAGCGGAAATTAAACCAGTCAATGTCAGCTCTGTAGGAACTACAACAATTCTGATAATATGGCCAGTGCATTTCTGATAAATGTATTTCTTTGCATATGTTGAAACATTTATGCAAAATTTATCTAGTCTATTTAAAATGTCTGCAGAGTTTTTAGTTTTTTTCTTTCTCAGCAACAATGCTTGTGTATATTTAAAAAAAATACAATAATAAAGTTTCCTGCATGGATAGATCTGTATCATTTAGGATATGAATACTCTGAAACTTTCGATTTCATCTATAAACATGAAGTGGCTTATGAAGGACTCTGTATTTATGATGCTATAAAATTTATTCATTGTAAGTTTATGACATTCCTCCAGAGTTACGATTCAATACTGTTTTGCAGCAATCCTGCAATTTTTCTCCACTCAAGTTCCCTCTGATCGATCCACAATCAGACAACTTTCCAATTATATATTAGCATTTTAGTTACAGATATCAAGTTTCCAACTCGCTGCTTAAACAAAGTGATGGGCTGTGTCAGAATGAATCATTCTCTGAGTAAAAATTCTGATTTATGGCCCCAGAGATCAGCTAGAAACACAATCCATCAGCCAGGTCTAAAAAAAAAATACAGAGCTTTAAGTGTTTGAGTAAGCTGTTACATTCTAAGGATGTTATTTGATGATTGCTGGATTTTTTTCATTACCAGCTCGAGTTTGCATTGATGACCATTAGAGGCACTCATCACTTCTAAAAAGTCAGCAAGAAAACGTCTCAGGTTACTTATGTAACCATGGTTCCCTGAGTAGGGAA